TTGCAGTTTCTTATAAATAAAGCACAACAGGTTGAGGTGTACAGACACCACGCAGGGGAACCACCAGCACTAACAGAAACAGAATATCATTCACTTATTTATAAATGGAGACAATATAAATACACCACTGCTAGGAGATGCTGGAACATCAGAGAAACGCATGCAGCAGCAACAACAGCAACAGCAGCAGCAACAACAACAGCAGCAGCAGGAGCAGCAACAGGATCAGCAGCAGCAGCAGCGGAATCACCAGCAGCAGGAGCACCAGCAGCAGCAGCACCATCAGCAGCACCATCACAACCACCACAACCACCAGCAGCAGCAGCACCAGCAGCAGCAGCATCAGCAGCATCAGCAGGAGCAGCAGGAGCAGCAGCATCCCCGGGAGTGTATGCATGCAAGTACAGCCGTCACGAGTGGGTAACAGTGCGTCATTTGTTTGAGTTTGTGCGAAGCAGTTTACAAAAATATATTAAAGCTGTTGCTGAGCCGGGGGAGGCGGTGGGGGCGATGGGGGCGCAATCTATAGGGGAGCCAGGCACCCAGATGACCCTAAAGACCTTTCATTTCGCCGGTATTTTCTCCTTTTTTTCTCCTTTTTGGGTTTGTTTTTGGTTGTCTTTGTGTTTTTATTGTTTATTTTGGGGGTTTTGGTGTTTATTTTGGGGGGTTGGGCGTTTATTTCGGGTTTTGTTTTGTTAGTTTTGTTGTTTTGGTTGGTGAGGAACACACAGATGACCCTAAAGACCTTTCATTTCGCCGGTATTTTATCCTTTTTTTCTCCTTTTTGGGTTTGTTTTTGGTTGTCTTTGTGTTTTTATTGTTTATTTTTGTGTTTTTTGTGTTTATTTTTGTGTTTTTTGTGTTTATTTTGGGGGGTTGGGCGTTTATTTCGGGTTTTGTTTTGTTTTTTTTGTTGTTTTGGTTGGTGAGGAACACCCAGATGACCCTAAAGACCTCTCATTTCGCCGGTGTTTTTTCCTTTTTTTCTCCTTTTTTTTCTGTTTTTGTTTGTCTTTGTGTTTTTATTGTTTATTTTGGGGGTTTGGGCGTTTATTTGGGGGGTTTAGGCGTTTATTTTAGGGT